CGCGAAAAAACGGTTAAGCAGTATCAAACGCACACTTCTTCGTGTTTTGTTTTTCATTAATTCCACTTATTAAACTCGTAAGTAACGCAAATGGTTTTAAAAATCACTGACTTGTCGGAGTCGGTTCACATATGTTTAGACATTGTAACGCTTTTACAAACGAGTCTTTAATCATCAATTCATCGGCTCATTCATTTATTTGATCCACCGACGAAGCTTTGACGTATGGTGACTCTGGTGATTCTTCCGGTTACACACTGAACGTCTATACAAACCTCATCGACGTCGTACTCACAACGCTATGCTCTGCGGTGACTGCTTTGCACGCGAACTAGCAAAATCAAAACCAAACCAAAACCAACGTGCCTATCATCAGCGGTATTACATTGATATATGAACTGTTACGTGTATTATGCTACAGTCAAGATCGAGAACTCTGATGGAGTGAAGATGCCAGCCTGACATTGAAATTTAAAAAAGGGCGCCTGATTAAGGTTAGTTTAGTGATAGTTTTTATTGCAAAACATGTATGTTTTTCTTGAAATGAATCTGAAATACCTCATTTCAAAATGCAGAAAACAAGTGAGGAATTGATTATTGATAGTTGCACATACTATGTATTTTTTATAGTCTGCTTTGAAAATTGAGTGTTGTTCCTTTTTGAACTAAACATGTAAGATGTGTGATTTCAGCTTATCATCAATATGTTCAAGAACTGATATTTTGTTGATTGAAGAAAAAATCGATCCTAAAAAATGTACCAATTAGAGCTACAAGCAAGGCCTAATTTTATTCCAAATGCTGGAAATGGCATTTCGTGAGTCTAGATTTCACATTCTTTCGGGGGCATGCCCCCGAGACCCCTACGTTTGCCTCGGTTGACCTGCAGGCACTCGGATTGCAAATCACACTCACACACCTCGGCAAGACAGGGCGTGTAGGTATTTTTCATCGCCTGCTTTTTCAAACCCCACAAGGACTGATAACCTTTTTTACTTTGTTTCATCTGTAACCAAACGTCTAGGTTATTCTTACTGTTGTTCAGTAGCGTGTGTAGAAGGTTAATGATGAATATTTGTATGGTTATCTACTGTTATCATTGCAGTGTGTGGAAGGTATTGTGATTGTATTATTGTAGTATTACTAACTGTTCTCATAGCAGTGTGTAGAAGGCTATTTTATAGGTAAAATACAAATTGATATTTACTGTTTTGTCTTATTCGTCAAAATATGTTCAAAAATAATATTGTCCAGTAAATATTTAGTCCGGGTTCCAGTAAATTTTCTGGGCTTGGTGGACCGAAGGTCCGAGTGCTTAGAAAATTTCATCGTGAGACTGATATACATTGACCTGGATGGTGTGTGTTGTTAGGATGAAGAAATTACGCGTTGAAATCATATGTATAATTATCGGCTGATAATTCTGAGAGGACATTCCAAGTACACTGATACTGAGATCTCATTTGTCAGTATGCATCCATGGTGTAAAGATGTATGTACGCAAGGAAGGACGCATTACGCTGTATAGAACGATTAGAAGGTGATGGTCTACTCGTGCTGCAGGACTGCACTATTTGTAACAGATAGTAGGAGGTCTAATGTAAGAGAGCTGTGCATTCTTTACGTCACATGTTGACTCGTTGCCATCGTTTGCAGGACGATCTGATGGATGGGATCGCTATGTGGGCTCGATGAAGACGTGCCGTGCGGGTAATCTGTGTGCTTGTTGGCGTCAAAGCGCAAGATCTGCTAAGTTGCGCAAAACCACTTTCCAGCCAAGGGCTCCAGACCGAGGATGTTTCTTATTTATTCATTTAAAAGCAAAAGGATTGTAATATCTTATAAACGACATATAGTTCCAGTTATAATATGGATAAATTTGCCCTAAAATGAATATCGTTCGGTTAAATAGCATTTAGGTATAAATATAATTGCACTTTTGTGATTAGCCCTCGGTCTGTAACGTGCAAGATATTTTGTCAAATACGCAACTTTTTCGGGGTGGCAGCACGGTCACGGGTGTCATGGCGCCGTTCACATTTTGTAGCGTTGATGTGTAATTAATTATAACAATTAAATTAGGTATCTGGTAACAAATACGTGTGGCTATAGACGATTTGTTATACAGTAAGTACAGTTGTATGCAGTAAAATCCTAGAGGCTACTGTCCCTTTAAAGGGCCTCGTGTTAAGAAGTCCACTAGTCTCGCTGCCTGTTCTGGCTGTTAAATACAGTGCTGGTGGTGCATGGTTAAATTTGGCACGCACCGGCTTTTAATGAAATTGCTGCATGAGCCGTGCATTCCTGTCTTCCTACATGTCCTACATACTCTTGACAAATGACAGTCTGCTATATGCAGTGAAAATAATGACATTTGACATAAGTCTGACAATTTTAATGCCGGCTGCTTTTGAATGCCGAGACTGCGCAGGCACCATGGCGTTATCATCCATTGACCTGCAAATGACCTCTGACACCGCTATCTGTACCAGGTTGACCCACCAAAGGGCAACGTTGGCTTCGGCTCCGGTCTCCATGGCTGGGCGTTCACACTGAAGCAGTTTGCCGAGCTCTACTCTGAGAAGTTCAAGGTCGACGTTGGCAAGCTCATGAAGCGCCTGTGGGGCGACAACTTCTACAACCCGGGCAGCAAGAAGTGGAATAAGACTGGCCGTCTTGAAGAGGGCGAGAAGGGAGAGTACAAGCGCGCGTTCAACCTGTTCGTGCTCGACCCGATATACAAGGTAATGGTCTCGCGCGATCGTGGCAGCGCCACTCTCTGCGGTGATGCGTTAAAAAAAAAAAAATTGTTTATACCTTGGTCCTTCTGCTCTTTTGTTTATTTAGTCAGACGTATGTGCCTAATCAGTTAATAATTAGCTGTTAATTAGTCAACGTGATGTAAATGTGGTTGTGCAACATTGTCTCATAGATGTTATCATGTTACATTGTAAACCTGGATGCAAACTGTACTTTTTGTACATAACCTTTTCTTGCAAGACAATTTGGCTCACAGCGTCTTTATAATTAGCCCACCACCCTATTCTAAAATCGTTTACTTACTATCTTCCTAGTTCATTCCTTTAACAGCAGTGGCAATTTATAGCAGATATTTTTGTGTCGTGAATCGTTGGGAGAAAAAATGATACTGTGTGATCTGTGATGAAGAGAATTACCGTTTGAATAAAGCCTGAAAATGTTAAGCTGGCTGCTATTTTATTCTGAGATTGCACAAGTATTGGTT